ATTGAATCAAAAAAATCAAGAATTTGAAGAATCAAAACTCGAGGTTTAAGATTAAGGAAATAATTAGATTGTGACAACTCTTTCTTATATTTATAAATTTTGGGTTATGTTTTTAATGTTCTTTTTTTTTCTATCTTTAGAAATATGTTAAATTAGATTCATTTATATTTCTTGATTAATTATGCATGCTCGTTGCATTATTTAATTGCTTGATCATCTATTAGGTAATTCATTGCTTGTTGTAGTGTTAAAAAATTCAAAATTAAGTAGAAAATATCATGATTAACACATGGGTAATAAATGTTAAAAATAACATATATTGGGTGTGCAATCACTTGGATAATCGTGTTATTGAATGCATTATCACCTAAATAATTGTGTAATTAAATGCATTCTACTCATTTGAATTCGAGCTATGAATAAAAATTGGGATCATATTTAAAATAGAATTAATTTATCTTGATAAAAAAAATGAATACAAAAGGATTATCGATTGTAAAAAATGCAAGATTTAAACTAAATTATATAGCTGAATTGGAAAATTGGATAATAATAGGTGAATTAGGATTTCCAACACATACATATTATATTTAGTTTAAAAGCATCTTATATAACTAATTAAATAATTTATGTATAAATAAAATAATCTCTTTTGCCATTTACATTCGTATTTGATAGTGAGTTGATAAAATTTAACACAAGGTTTATTCCTTGCGAGCATAAATATAATGGATAATCACAGCAAAGGCTCCAAAGTTTTAAAACATTAGCAGTCTTTTTCAAATTTTTTATTTGTTACAACATACAACCGTCACTCACAACCTTTTTAAATGTTTTAGGTGAGACTCTTTTGGATGATTTTCATTCAAGATGCCATCAGTTGACCCAAAAATTTAAGTTTTACAATTTTTTTACCAATTAAATGAGAGTAAAATGGTAACTTTATAATATTACCGTAGAAAAATATTCAAATAATTAAAAAAATTAAAAGGAAAAGGAAAGACTTATCAAATGTTTGAGCCACATTATTTGGAAATAACAAATTGATGTAAATTGTACGGTTTAAAAATGAGGAAAAAATTTGAATTTGCGTGTAATATTATTTTATTGAAATACGTGTGATTTAAATGATATCAAATTATTGTTTAAGAAGAATATATTTTTTTGAAAAAATGCTACTCAAACAGGTCCTTAAACTTTCTTCCCTTTCTTCTCCGCCTCACTCCTCGCCCCTGCCCCCAGTCTCCACAAAAAAATCAGGAAATCCATCTGTCTCCGTTGACGGTCGAATGCTGGAGATGGTAGATAAAACCTGATAGAATTCATATATATTTACAGGTGGGTTTACTGAATGTCGATAGGTACTACAACTACTTCCTCAACTTCATTTACATAGCAGATGATGGGTTCAGTAGTCAATTTCAAAATTTATTTTTAGGGTTAATTATGTCAATGATCACTAAAATTTTGAGTTATTAAGTTAATAACTCGTTGAAGTTATTTTCTTACATAAACATTCATTTAAGTTTCTAAATTTTACACCAATAGTTACTTAAAAAAAGGTTGAACCCCAATCTTGAGAGTCCACATCGTCTCGTTCCTAGAGCTTTGTGAGGGAGGTAAATCGCGGGATATGTCCCAATAGGTCAAGAAACAAGAGCTGTCTGTACATTGAGTCTACAAGGAGTTCAATTCCATGTCACAGAAATCGAATCCCCACATTGCGGCTGCTAACAAGGCGTGAGATAACTTCACTCCTGTCATTTACATCACTGGACTATGCCCCGAGAGGCTATACCAATAGTTATTCAATCCTACGCAGCGCTGCTATATATCAATATACCGCAAAATGGTATTATTTATTATGTTAAATTAATAATTCCAGGGTTTAGAAATTGAGGATTAAACACGTTTAGATGAGAAAACATAATGTGAATTTAGTTTTGATCATATCTTGTGCTTAAATTGTATGTTAAATCCGTACATTTCTTATCAACAATAATTTTTACTGACTTGGTAAAATAAATAATGTTGTTTGGTAAAACATTGTCATTTAATAGCACCAATTAGGATGTAACATTAATACTTTTTAAGCGAGTGACCGCAATGTAACTATTAGAAACTTTAATAACTATTTCAGTAAGAAATAATGATGATGATGATGACGACGACGACGACGACGACGACCTAATTCTTCCTTTTTACGACTTGCTTCTAACCAACTATTGAACTTTAAGGCCCGTGTACAAATTACAAAAGAGTGAAAAGACCCTTTTTCTAGAAAACGAAAAATGACATTTAAGAATTATTTATTTATTTATTTATTTCTAGAAACGACATTCTTTCTTCCATTGAAATGTCATCCCTAATACATTTCTTCCATTCAAATCAATTTAGTCGATGACAGATAATAACTTGACATGGCTTCTATTTTATTTTTGTTTCATTCTCTCCCATATAATTAAGTCCCCACAACTTGCTTATTCTTTGAATTTACTTTGTTTTTGTTGGCTCTTATTCACTGTTCAATAAACAATTTTACTTTGAACCGATGTTTGATTCGGATAAAAATTAACTTCATTTGCAGTCATAATTACTAAGTCAAGCACCGATATTAAAATGATGAAGGGTTCCCCTTTTATTGTCAAAAAGTCGATTTCACGCAAGAAGCGGGATCACACACACATTGAATAATATTTTTGTTCTATGAAGTAAATTTTAATTATTGTAATAATTTGTATATAGAAATTTCAATTATTGGGATGAAATAGAATAGCGTTGAGAACTTGAGATAATTACTCGTTTAATTAAGTTTAAATCTTTAATTAAAATCACTTATTACTGATTTAATTAGGTCTAGATTAAAGTAATTAGTCCACTCTAGTCCGTAAGTTGATTAGTAAATGGGCCCGTTACAGCCGAATGACTTCATTTTGATTGGCACGTAGTGACTATTTGTTATTTATTGGGTCTGGGGCCGTAGATCCGGCTAATACGGTAGATTTGTTATGGGTCCAAACCCGAATCTCACCTAAGTCAGATTCAGACCCGTAGAAGATTCCTTTGACTTGACTAAAGCACTATAACTCCGCTATATGTTAAGAAAATGGGTTATCAGAATTGATACAGACACACTTGACAACAATCTGTCGGCTAAGGACAAGAAGAAAAACAGAAAAGAGGTCCTTGAAGCTGCTGTGCACTTCTGACCGCAATTCCTCTATATAAAAGGAATTGCTAAAAGCATTATGTTTATTTTTTGATGTTGAACTCGGAACAATTCCCATGGGAATTGGTTCGTAGGCATTTCTGTTTGCAGCACTTGTATGATGCCCTCCTTTTTTGGGTTAAGGACGAATTAAAAATTGTCAAGTGAAATTCTGTAAAAAAATTGTGAATAATTTTCTGTACAACTAGCATCGCTCTGTGAACTTGCCATCCAATATTGACTTTTTAATGGAAGGCCGAATTAAAACAAAGGAAAACTTTAATGACTATTTTAAAACAACATAAAGTTCAATGATGAACAAGAATAAGGGGGTGTTTGGTGGGAATTTTAAGCAATTAAAATCAATTTTTTTGTTTTGAATTCTTCTTTCATAAGTAGGGTTCACTTTTTTCCCTTACAGTCAAAAAATCAATTCTCAATATCTCTATCAAACACCCTCTAAGACTAACAATATTTTTTGCCTACAATAATATTTATTTATCTTGCTAAGCATGTTGTGAATAATGATAACGAATGGTTGTGAAAAATTAATAACACGAACTATGTTACCCGTATAACATATAAAATAATTAAAAGATATTATATCTGTAAGTACGGCACAATCTTTTGGTCCTTCTCACGAAGCATTTTATCTGACTTATTAATTTTATTTAGAGAAATTTACCAAGATTTTGTCATTTTCAATTTCTTCTATTTTCATCAATTTTTGCTATCTTTTATATATATCGTATCGCGTTCTATTTTATCAACATCCTGTTTATGTATAGGCATGTAATGTCACATCCCGTATTTTAAAACAATGAATTTCAACGTTTCTTAATTAAACAAATAAATAAATAACTCTATAAAATTCACAATTTTTTTTTTCCTAAAATAAAACCCCGCTAGGCAATGACATTGAGTTTAAGCCCTTGTTTGATCCACATTTTTTCAAAATATATTTTTATCTCTCTCATTTTCAACCACATATTTTTCAATATAATAGTATTATATGTAAATCCAAAATCTTTTCTAATTTTTTAACCACACATTCTCTATCAATTTACTATTCCAAAATACATTCTTAAAAAATAATGTGGCTAAAACAAACCCTAAATCAGAAAATGGATATCATAGTCAACGAACATTCTAGTATAATCTATCCATCAAGCCCATGTAGAAACTAGGCCCAAATATAGAATCCACAAGGGATAAAAACATAAACCAGGGATTAAGAATGCACAGTTCATTTTCAAGGTCAGAAGGTTCCAAAATTCAAAAGTCAGGTTATATATATATAATATTCCGTTAAATTGGTTTCCTCAATTCAAGCATGCAATCAACAATTACCTTCTTTAGGTAGACTCCCCAAAATATAAATCTACCTCCCTAAAATACAAACTCACTGTCAATTTGACATTTATCGATGGCGGAATCAACATTCAAGGTCACAATTTGAAAATTCACAAATCGAATTATCTCGTGACAATGTAACAAAGTTAATGCCATGGCTTTATTGTATTTTTGAGAATAGTTCGGAAGGTTGTTGACTTCACAATCAGAGATTTCAAATCGAAGCAGTGTCGAATGTGTAAAATTAGACGTAAATTAATATATTCGAAGTCACATTTGCATTCTTATTTACATTTCAGTGGATCTAAATCCAAATTCTATTCCAATGAGAAAGACATCAATTCAATTTTTTCCTCTTGTGAATTTTCTCCAATTAAAAGAAACTGTACCGAGCAACTCAAGGTAAGAATTTCAAAAGGGAATAAACTCAAATGCTCAGTTCAAAGCAAGTAAAACTTATATGTAGAAAGTTTTCGACTAATTACACAAATTTCATTCTTATAAATGATATACATGCACATGAACTGTGGCCCTTATCACATGATTTTTCTATATGATTCTCAATTGAGAAACCATGAACCTGTCTGTTCACAAATCAAAGAATTGTAGGGTTGACATGAACAGCAAACCAACATGGAAAAGAATTCCAGCCGGCATACTGTGACCAAAACTCACTATGTATTGCCTCTTCGAGTATTCTAATAATTATACTACATGCTATGACTATATGCATATTTAGTACACAATACTGGACGAGCCTGAATAGTATAATGTTTCTTCTTTAACATTGTCTAGTGCCATTGAATCCTCCTTACAGAACATGCACTGAATGTTCCCCGCCGTCCATAAAGCCTTGACTTTAATGACTTCATCCAAATTCTTCGAAATTTTTCACAATCACAGTGTGAAAACATAACCTGCAGCGATGCTCTGAGTTGGGGCAAGTGAGAAAAACTGAAGCCCACACGATTTTGTTTTAGAATCGAATAGGCAATCCATAATTGAGAAATGTTCTGATACATCCGTCCCAGCCTGCAGTTACGATGACAAGACCCCACAAATGAGGAGAATTCATTGCGCTCTGCCAAGCACTCTTTAGAAACTTGAACTCAGATCTGCACATAGAACGTGAAACTGCCACTGGGCTTGACTGGGGCAGTTTCTCTTCCGGCCACGTAGCAGTTCCCTTATATAAAGCATCCAAGAAAAACCCGAGGCTTGTAGTGAAACAATCAGGGAAAGAAGCAGGCAATTTTTGGAGCATTTTCTCATCTAAATGTCCGTTTCCTAAAATACTTCCTGGTAGTGTTCCTAACGTGTTTTTCAAGCCACACCAAGGAACAGCAATGGAAGCATTGTGTGACAAGAAACTCTCAAAAGACCACAAGTTCTTTGATCGAGATGATTTCTGGTCCTGCGAAGTGTAGCTCCACACACGGACATTTGAATCCTCAGCAGTCGAAACAATGTGTTCCCCGTCTGATGTGAAAGATGCAGGTACTTGGCTTCCTGAACTTCGATTACCTGAAAGACGCAAAATGAGAGATTGAGAACAATGAAATTCCTGCGTTCTTTTTGATTGTCATATTTTCATGATCTCAGTTTTTTTATTTCCCTAATAGTTCTTAGACAAAGTAATTGAACAAGTATATTATTCAGTACGATATTTCAGTCTCAACTTTACAGATTTTAATAGGTTCCAGGGCAGGAAGCTAAGAGCTGATAATGTAGTAAAAAGTGAATAGAAATCATGCACTCATTGAAAACAAACAAGAAAGAAGCAACTTTCCACCTTTGAATTTGCAGATGATATTGGTACCACAAATCATTCTAACTTGTGAATCAGCAGAAGTGACCAGCACTTTGCTCACATCACTTGGGCAAAACTGAAAAATGAACAACTACATGATCTATACATGAACAAAGACATCTATTGTGCAGAAAATAAAACAACGAATCAAAAAATGACAACAGACTGGAAATGACTACCTGAAATCCAGTTATTCTCTTGCCAGTTAACTTCTTCTTCCCCTTTAGGCATATTTGATCACCCAATTGCAGACGATTATCTAAACCTAAGAGGTTAAAGCATATTATTATCTGCCATTCACGTAAGAGTATTAAAAAATTATCATTTAAGGAATTGTTAGATGTTGATCATTGCACACACTACAAATTATGAATGGCTGGGCAGTATAATAAAATAATATGACGTTTGACATATTTGTAACAACAAAATGAAATAAACATATTTCTTGTTGAGCATCAAAGAATAGTTTCCAACAACTAAGCTCTATATCCTTAATAATATAAACAAAGGAAATGCACAAACAAATGTGTAAGGTGGAGATGAAAGAGCATACATCATATAAACACCCATTTTGAGTTCATGCACTTTGGCTTCTACAAAAACATTTACTTAAAAGTTGTCCACTCAAAACTTGTCTTGAAACATGAGTTGTAACCATCAGTTGACTGAGATGTTCAGTGATCATGAGTAAGAACCAAGTATTAGATAGTGCATTAGCAAGCAAACAGGAAGTCAATGGGTATCACATTCGAGTCTCGACACTATGCATTCTCAAGTTAAATAATTTTCCTGGGCAGCAGACTGGAGATACCATCAGGAGTTATAATTGACTGCAACAGCCAAAAAAACATGGACGCAAGGGACATGATAGATAAACATGCCACTTTCCAAGATGTAGTACACAACACATCAGGGACTTGCAAGTAAAGATACAAAATTATACAAACACTGCATATGTACCTATGGGTGTGTATGTATGCCAAGTTTTCCCCAGAGATGCTAGCATATTTAAGTGAAAGCCATGTTCTAATATAAATTATATATATCTTGCATTCAATTACATATATAGATATGTTATTATATCACCTCAAAATTGCATGCATCATAAGAAAAATTAAAATAGGTCAATATATGAATTCGCTTATTTTATATTAATAGGGAGCCTTATTTCATCATTACAAAATTGTCTACAAGTGTATGACTTTAATACTTCAATATAGGCTTATCATAGACGGCCTATAATTGCCATGTTTATATGTTTCCATGTTTGAAGTATCTAAGCTTATACAACTATCAAGTTTCTTTCTTGTCAGTCAAAGTAATAATTGCAATTCATAGCAAATAATAGTAAATGTGGCTTACCTGAGTCGATTGTAAATACTAATATTTTATCAGTTTGTGATTGTAAACAGATTATTTCTTTTAATCATGAAGAAGGCTGTAGACAAAATAACAAGAAAACAATATTCAATGACATATATTAATATATACATACCTATATCATAAAAACGACAATTTCCTTCCATGGAGCCAATTAAACCTCCCTGAAGTAATAAGATATAATATATGTTAAAAGAAGTCAACCAAAAGCTTAAAGACTCCACACCAAAGAAAAGCTAAAAGTAAGATGTCCATCAGACCTTGCCATCAGGACAATAACACAAGGCAGTTACTATTTCTGTAATATCAATCCAATCAATGACTCGGCAGCCTTGAACTTCCCAGATGCGTATTTTCCCATCTATTGAACCACTAATGAAATTATTATCATCCACGGGATTGAACTCAAGACAGGTCACTGTAACACAAAAATATAGGAATTAAACATATGTAGTAAGTCCAGAAACACAAAGCTTGAAGAGAAGTTAGCATATACAATACGAAGTAAACCAATCTAGCTGCCAGACTTACCGTAGTTATTATGCATATATATGCCAAGGCACTGATCATGTCCCATCTTCCATAAGCGAGCTGTTTTATCGACTGAAGATGACAGCAAATGCTGCCAAAAAACCAAGAAAAGCATTGTTAAAGTCCACATAGATCCCCTTTAAATGTGCAGTCTAAGCACTATATGGTATGCATGGACACGATATATATTAGTACTAACCCCATTCTTGGACCATGAGAGAGCCAAAACCTCACCCGTGTGTCCGTAGAACTCATGCAGAGGTTTCTCCAATAATCGGAAGACCTTTGGTGGAAGAATGACACAAGCCGAGTCTGACGATTTTCTCAGACTTTTCATCTGACAAGTCTGTTTTTTATCAACATCGAGAGGACCTAACTTGGAAAAATGATTCAGTGAGAAGTATAAAGATGAGGGATCATTGTCTCGAACGTCGAATTTGTTTAAAATATCATCTTCAAGCACCTTCCACACACGTACAACACCATCTTCCCCAGCACTTGCAAGGTAATTTCCATCAGGACTGAACTTCATTGTCAAGATGGAGCCCTCATGTGCAGAAAATTCTTGCCCCGTGTACAGAGAGGACAGTTCTTTTGAATGTTTTCTAGATGCATGGACTGGAACTCTTCGACAACTAGCCCCCGTCTTTGAACTGATCTCATTAGGTTTCAAATGAACCCCCTTTATTTTATCTGAATTACGAGTCAAGAGACCTAATCTCCTGAGCCACCCTCTTTTCACTTTCTCCTTCATATCAAGCAGGTTAAAGCCCTTAGACTCTTTCCTCAATAACTGCTGAACCAAAGCTGATGAGCCAAGGGTTTTCTGAAACTCTTCAAGTGACACAATTTTATTGGAACCCACTTCACGTAATCTGGTAGGCGAGCCATGGTCACTATATTCATCAACCACAAATTCAGTTCCATCATCTAAATTTTTAATTTTCCATGCATCCTTGTCTACAGCACCATTTTCTACTGACTCCGTAGAGTCATATGAGCAAAATGCCTGCAAGGACCGACTTGAGAAAAACTGAGTTTCAGAATCCGAATTTGCCAATACGGTCTCACCATTATCCCTTAACCTATTAATGCCTGTTTTGATTTCTTCATCACGTAAATTATCCTCTTCATCTCTATCGGTTGTGCACCAATGTGAACTCAAACCGACCCATTTCAAAAACTTGGCACGTCTTTCATCAACGCTTTCTGGTATCTTAGTCCAAAACTCGTATCCAAGAGCACAGTTATTGGGAACAGGAGTTGAACAGCCCTCGGAACAATCAAAACCCCAATCAGATACAGGAGAGACCTTATCACGGCTGTCGAAGAATTGATCCTCTGTTTCACTAAAACTACTCATCGTCTTTGAACACAACCCAAATAAACCTGCATCTCAGGAAAACATTAAAAACATTAAAAAAAAAATAAAAAAATAGAAGGTCTATTGAATTAAAATTTTCAATATTTTCAATATATGTTCGATCAAAAATAAAAGTTATAACCTCAGAAAGCGTTCGAATTCGCAATTGCAAATAAAAGAAGCCATAAAATTCATAAAAAGGACAAAATTTGAAAATCCAAATAATTTAAGATCACAACAACAGAAAAAAAAAACCTCCAAGAGATAAAAATCCAAAGCATAGATCTGTTCAAGAGTCAAGAGAAGTGATCAAAATCGAAACGTAAAAAAAGACACAATTCACTGATCTACTAACACAATCTAAATCAAAATACAAAATTCCTGAAAATAAACATAATCACTGTGTTCAACAGTTCATTATGAATTGAACTACATATAGAAAATAAAAAAATTCTACATGTTCAGTAAAAAGAGGACAATTTCCTCACCTGGGTCGTCAAGAAATACGTGTCAGATGCTAGGAACCCATTTGCACAAGGCAGATTCTCAATCCTTCTAGCAACAATCACTTTATATAAAGTAACAAAAAGTGTACCGTAAAACGGTGCTATGAGAACTGAGTAAATAAATCGATTATGTAAGTTAAAAATAAGCCATAAAATAAAAGAATAAGAGTGAGAAGTTGCGCACGATGAAACGAGATTTCCAAGAAAAAATGTGAAGGTTATATAAGGTGGAAGGGACGGTGTGTGTTTGTGTGTGCGCATTTTCCCCGGCTTTCACTTTCATTGCTTTAAGAGCAACTACTGGATGGTGTATTTTGACGGTTTTGCCCTCAACAATTTGATTCTTTATTTTTTCAAGTCCGTTATCCGTGCCCGTTCAAAATCAACAATTCTAACTATGACTTTTAATTTTATTATTATTAAAATAATGTATTTAACGACATTCCAATGTCACTATTAAATAAAAAAAGGTGGTAGGGATCGTCAAAATTTTACTAGTCCATCTAAAGTTTCACTTGATTTTAGTATTATGAAATTCAAATTTATAAAAGGTTAAATACGTTGATTTATAGTTAAGAACATTAATATCAAATATAATAAGGCCTGTTCGATAGTGACTATGAAAATTAATTTTTGAACGTTAGAAATAAGATGGGTCCCACCTGCGAAAGAAGAAGTCTAAAATGATTGTTGAAATAATGAAATAACAGTAAAAAAAATTGACTTTTTGAGGTGAAAAATTATTGCCAAACGGGAGCTAAATTTCATTACATTAAAAATCAGAAGAATGGAAGATTGTGTAAATGGGATTTAAAAAAAAAAAAAAAAAAACAATAGAAAAGAAGAAATAGTGTAGTCAGAATTTTTCGAATGAGTAGAAGATATATACGTAAATAAATATAAGATTCTCCACTTGTTGAATGAAAAAAAAGTTCTCAATAGATTACAACACCAATTGGCCATATGTTAAATAAAAGAAGCAAATTTACTTTAAACTAACTTCTTGACTTAGTGTATGTTTGGCTAACTTTTATAAACAGTAAAATTTCTTTTTTTGTCCCTCATATTTCATAAACTTTCCTATTTGAGCCCCATTATTTCTCCATTAATATAAAAAATATAATCATTATCCATCACATCAAGCTACCATATTTGTGTTTCTCTTGTGTAGGACTCATAACGACTATATTTTTCTTTCTCATTTTTACAATAATGTGGCTCAAATGGGGCTTAAAAATACTATTCATCTACCTGTTACTCATTTTTTAAAGATTTATTTAGCTCTTGTTTGAGCCTCATTTTTATCGAAATATAGTCTTCAGTAGTGATTTGACCCCATTTCAATCACATGTTTTTTAATAAAATAATATTGCATATAAATTCATGACTTTTCTTCATTTTTTAATCAAAAATTTAAAATCAATACAACAGTCAAAAATGCATTTTTTTTTTTTTATAAGAATGGAGCTCAAACAAGGGCTTAACATTCATTTAGATACACATATATAAATAATTTATAAATTTAGTCAAAGTCTAATATTAATTTCAATTTTTTTATTACTACATATGTCATCCCAAACATGCTTCAAATATATTTGCATAACTTATTTAACTTTTAAATAAAAAATTATTTATTTACTTCAAAACCTACTTTTTAATTTTAAGTGAATTTGCTTAAAAAAATAAGGTTAGTGGTAAGGAGATTTTAGTAAAGCCGAAAATCCATCCTATTGCTTGCGAGTCAGCGTAAGTGTTTGACTTTGACTATAATTGTCGCCATTTCAGAGTGCATCTACCGACGGTCAAAATTGATTATTTCTTATTTGTTTGTTTGGAAATTAGGAACTACGAGAATTGAAAATTCCAAACTTGGGATTTATTGAATGACAAGACATCATTAATATGACTTTTAATTTGTCTTCTTCAAATATATTTTATTAGTGTTGGTTTTTATTTTTATTTTATTTTTATTTTTTTGGGAATTCTTGTCATCTATCAAATAAAATGGATAAATATACTTTTTACTAAAAGGATTATCATTATACAGGAATTAATAGGAGCCAATCAAGTTAAATTGTTGGCGACCGTTGATTATAATTCAATGAATGTGATCGAGTTAAAAATTACTTTTATTGATAAAAGAATTCTCTTTTATTTTAT